CTGGTACTTGAAAAGCTAACCGATGAAACATAACGTTTGGTAAACTAGCTGAAAAGCTAGCTGAAAGATATAAAATGACATAAATACTTAAAAGAATGTGTTTCTATATTTAATTAAGGGGTATATTTGGAAAGTTTTAAAAAAGCTCCTGAAAAGCTAGTCTAAGTAGCTTTTTAAAAAAGCTAGCTTATAAGCTAGTTTTTGGCTTGTCAAACATGACAACTTAAAAAAACTCGAAAAATAAGCTAGCTTATCAGCTAGCTGTGGCGCGCCAAATACAACCTTAGAACAATAAAAAGATTCGGTAATTTAAAACCACTAACACCGAATAAACTATTTATCAACAAACATAAACAGCAGCTCAATGCTATGAAAAGTAAATGATCACTTGTTCAAAACTATACAACAAACAACACAAGCCAAATTATGTAGATGATAAATCATCCCCAAATGTGTACTCCTCAACCTGCATGTTGGCTTAGAAATGAAAAAGAAAACCTTATTTTTCATAACTGATATGCGTAACTAGAATAGCAATGGAAAAGTGGGAAGAAAGCTAACATAGGACAATGTGATAAAGATGATCATCGGTGCAAAAGCCCCTTATACTGATATCGATCAGTTCCCAACAGCTGAGATCAACTGCCTCCTTAGTCGACACCTCTAGAGTACTGAAACCCAAATCCCAAATATAAACAGGTGGCTGGATCATATTAATGACCTTCCACATCGCTGGATACTTGCAAATTTTCAGCCAAGTTGTACATACTTTCCATGCGCTGTTCAGTTTTTCTGCTGTATGCAATCTTTGGAATATATTATCCGTCACTTTTACCGACTGGTAAGCGAGGGTTCTCTCGATTAGTTACGGAAAACCCCCTTTTTCTATTGGAGAGGAGTGAATTATACAAACTGACCATAGTGTTTTTGTGTTCTACCTATAAAATCCTTTCAGAAAAGAATATTCTACGTTTTCTCTTATTCAATTTTGTATATCCTCACCTTGTATAGAAAATGTTGGTAATTTGTGTAATTGTTCTTATGATTAAATTACATAAATAATCTCTATATAAAAATAATTATGTAGTGGTCCTTTAAGTATGAAAAATTTACATAAATTGATTTGTGTCTAATTATGTACATATTTTCCGTACGCTGTTGAGTATTTCTACAGCTTCCAATCTTCGAAATATAATTCTCACAAGTTCGTCAGGCATCTCAAGCCAATTTCGAAACGGAGGTCGTCATCGTCAAGTTTCAACTATGAAATATGAATATATGATGACTTTGCCTGTTTTGATCTTCCCAGTTAATTTTCGTATTGTTACCAAAAAGTCAAATACTCTGTTTTTTTATTGGAGAAGAGTGAACTACAGATGTTGTCGCTGGGCTTTTGTGTGCTCTACAGATACAAAAATTGCAACAGGCTTATCCTTAATTACTTAATACCTAATTTACATTGTTATAAAATAGTAACCTACTTTTGTCCTACTTTTGTTTTATGGAAGTTACTTTTTTATACTGAAAAAAACAATCAACTTTTGATTTCTTTCATTTTAGGCCAAAAATTATCGAAAATATGGCATCTGACTTTTTTACGAGAATAGCAATGATTTTATTGGTTGTCTAATAGAAGAAGTTACACATATTGGTCATGTTTGGTTTGACATATTTAATAGAACGGCCAATGAATGAAAAAAAAATAGGGTCACCTAAGAATGAAAAATATTAAATATGATGGAATTACATTCCATCTGTAATGTGTCATTCGATTCCATGATGACAACCAAACAAGTTGTTTGTATCGTAATGGAATGGTTCTCTTCGGTCGCATGCGGTGGTTTAAGTAAATGAATTAACTCCCAACGCTAATTAAAAGGATTAATTTTTTCAAGTATGTGGACTTTATAAAAACAAGAAAAAAATGTCCTAAAAAAAAGAAAAGAGAAAAAAAAATACTATAATATATGTATTTATATGAATTCATACGCATTTGAAAAAACATTGACATCGATATTTAACGAAGTTGATGGGTTGATTTAGTTGGTAAAGGGAATTAACTAAAAGCATACCCAGGCCAAATCAATCAGATTTTGTTTAGTTCGCAGAAAATAAATTGGAATACATGTAAAACGACAGAATTGCTCTTTAATTTGACTGTTTTGTTTAATTTTACTTTGTTTTCTAACTTATATGTAAAGATTTATTATAAAAATTATAAAAATACTATGTTTTGATTTTATTGATCTAGCATTTATATCAATATATTACAAAAATCATGTTAATAAACATCCTAGATTAAAGTCATTCCACTTCGCATCCCAATAACGCTATGATCTGTTTTAAAAAATAATGTAAACTCTTAAACTTTATTATAATCATAAAGGAGGAAGCGTATATTATAACTAATGAATAAACAAAACAATTGACATATATTTATGAGTTAATAAATTAAATATTTTTTTGAAAAAAAATCCATCATAGTTAAGGTTTACTTTTGAGTTTTCGATTGAGGTATAAGAGTTCCACTTGAACTCTACGGTTTTCTAATAAACATGTAACACCAACAAAAGAAAATTTGGAATTTGTTCAATGTAACACCCCGACTCCCAAGTACAAGTTTTAAGCATTATATGACATATTTATGGACCTACTCGACGATTTGGTTGCCCCCAACACGTCCTGTAGAGGCGGGTTAGCCCGTGGGGATTATTGGATCTACTCGACGAGTTGGAGGACCCGGACTCGACGAGTAGGAGCTGGGAGATGAAACCCTAATTTTTAGGGTTTGGACCCTATTTAAAGGACCTTATGTCCCTTCTTCCAATCCTTTACCACCCCCTTGGCGGCTAAGAGAAACCCTAATCGATATTACCTTGTTCTTGAGTGTTTGTGAGGTTTAAAGAGTGATTTTGGTGTTTTGTGTGAAGAAGGTGTGAAGTATAAGAAGCTTGGAGCAGAAAGGAGCTCGTGGAACTGACTCTACTTCATCTTGGCATCATTTTAAAGGTAACAAGTAGTTACCTTGGCTTATCTTTAGCTAAATCTCTTTATATTTGGGTTTAGGGCTATCTTTAGCACATTTGGGAGTCATTTCGAGTATTGGGGCAAGATCTGAAGTTATAACTTCAGATCTGGACTCCCCTTGGTCCTTATAGCTATAAAGTTGTGAGATTTGGCAAGCTTGGGCCTTTCCCTTTGAGTTAACCTTTCCCTTAGTCTAGTTTTGGCATTTAGGACCATGCATGTACATAAAGTTTGCAACTTTACGTGGAAACCATGCCCTAGGAGGTTGGATCTGCAATATGGAGCTTTGGGGTGGCTTAAAAACATCTGTGTAAGTAATGGACTGCATGAACTCGACAAGCCGCTTAGCCGACTCGGCGAGTCGGATGAAGGTTGTATGTATTTGACTCTGCATGAACTTGGCGAGTCAGTAAGAGGACTCGACGTGTCAGTTAGGGTTTTCCCCGACTTCTGGACACGCATGGACTCGACGAGTTGGTTGGAAACTCGGCGAGTCGGTTAGGGTTTTATGACTTTCTGAGTTCTCAAGGAACTCGACGAGTTGCTAGCTGCACTCGACGAGTTGGGTCAACCTGGACTGTTGACTTTGACCGTTGACTTTAACTATGACCAAGGCTTGACCAATTTGACTTCTGGGGGTATTTTGGTAATTTGGGAATTTATGGAAATGAATCATCGGTGGATGTAGGTGTTGGACTTGGGGCTGCATTTGGTGGAGTTTGACTTTATCACTTTGAGCTACTAGTGAGGTGAGTTCTCTTCACTATATCAACAGGGTCTAAGGCACCAATGCCGACCCTTATCAGATTTGTATCCGAGTTTATTGCATGATATGCTTATCGATTTACATCGTGATAGTTAGGATGGTGATATGCTTAGTGACCTGGTAGGTCGATATCCTAGTTTATAGGATTATGCTATGTTAGTGATCTGTTAGATCGGTATCCTGGTTATAGGATGGTTGTTATGTTAGTGATCGGTTATATCTGTATCGTGGTTATATGATGCTTGCCATGTTAGTAATCTGTTAGACCCGTATGATTATCTGTACATGCTAACTAGCGTATGATATTTATGTGCACATGTTAGTTGGATTGGGGGATTGGGTTGAGGCAAGTCCTGCTTTATGTTGTAGGCCAAGATACCTAGGGCCGACCGGATAGACTACAGACCCAAAAGGGCATATAGTCAAGCCGAAGGCCCGGCGAGCGGTCCGGATAGCCTGAAGGCCCTGAGAGGCGGTCCAAACGAGCCGTCGGAGAGCGGTCCAGATAGACTGATGGCCTGTGAGGCGGTCCAGTCAGACTGATGGCTCATTATGCATGTTGTATTCGTTTATATGATATGATTATAGCTGTATGGCGTTGGTATTTTGGGATTAACTTACTAAGCCTTCGAGCTTACATTTATCGATTATTGTTTCAGGTACTTCTGATGATCACGGGAAGGCGAAGGCGTGATCATACAACTCCTCATATTTCATGGTTTTATGATTTGATTCTGAGATACTCTGACATTATACTATTTTGAAAACAAGTTTTGTAATAATCATTGATTTTGAGATGTTTTAATAAGTTTAAATTTTGCATGATTTTTATGGATGTTACATTCAACAACCACACATTTTGTTTTTTATTGATCACACAAAGGATAGGAAGAAATGAAAAAAATAAAAAAACAAAACCTCCTATTTCCAGTTTCCATAAGGTAAACATACATAGGGACTTGTTAGCATAAATAATCCACATTTATCACCTAAAGTTATAATATTACCATGTTAAAAAAGATCATCTAATTAAGAAAATAATAATAAGAAAACGCCATATAGGAGTCTTGTCATACAAAAATAATTTCTCATGCCATATATTTTGCACATACATGACCTTTGTGTAATTCACACCACGTGTAGGCACACACATATACATACATATAACAGAGGTATATTGGTGTTTTAACAAATCATACCAGCATTTTTATATTAAGTGGTGCTTAAAATCTTTGATCCTTTCCATGCAAAGTTTTCCTAAATTACCATTAAGATCAAGGATTTGAGACATAGTAACATCTAGGGATAGAAGTTGAGGGCAACCAATAAGAATGGCCTCGAGTCCATCATTTGTCATCTCACCATCAATCAGTACTAAATGGCGTAACTCAGGCATGTTATTTGCAATAGCAAGGGCATGATCATCACATTTTAAGAATAACCCTCCGGACCCATTGGTGAACCGTTTGGCCATCATAAATGACTTGAGTTGAGGGCAATTCCGTCCAATAGCTTCTATGTCTTTTGCATTTATTGGGGTGTTAAAAAGACGAAGGTTCTCCAATTGTGGTGCCCCTTTGACTGCCCGAATGAACCCACTGCCCGTCATATGATAGCAGTTCCAAAGGCAAACACGGTTCAGCTTACTTGAGCTGGAGCCACAGAAAAGAAACAGAATTTCAGTAATTAATTAAAACTACTCAAACCAGATATTCATAAAACAACATATTAAATACTAAGAAAGTCAATCATACCCCTTTACACATTATGTTCGATATTTGGGGGATTGGACAGGATGGGACTCAATAAGCTTTGTAGAGCTATTTTTGATAATGATGATTAGGAGGGCATTTATGTCTTTTGTAGCTAGCCAAGAGTTCAAGATCAAATGTCTGTCCCACCTTTGACAAGAAAATCACGTTCTGTCTCATATGTGTGTTCAATTATGTTATGATCCAAAATCCAAATAGTAGACGACAAGAAACAAAATCAATTGTCTATACAATAAATAACACAAGACAAAATAACGTATTGAATAGCAATGGGAAGGGGAAGAAAGCTACCATAGAACTATGTGATGAAGGAGATCATCGGTGCAAAACCCCTTGATACTGATATCGATTAATTCCCCACAGCTGAGATCGACTGCCTGCTTAGTCATGGTCTTGTGATCGTAATTTTTATCCCAATTATCAAATGATTTGTGCATAACAATCACCTTCCACATCGCTGGATCCTTGCAAATCCTCTGCCAAGATGTACATACTTTCATTGCGCTGTTGAGTATTTCTACAGCTTCCAATCTTCGAAATATAATTCTCATCAGTTCGTCAGGCATCTCAAGCCAATTTCGAAATTCCGTCGTTGCCGAAGACGACTCTGAAGCGGAGGTCGCCATTTTCAAGTTTCAACTATGAATATCATGACTTTGGCTGTTTCTTTTGAATTTTGATCTTCCCAATTAATCGTCGTTTCTATTACCAAAAAGGCAAAAACTGTTTTTTTTAATTGGAGAAGACTGAATCATAAATATTGTCCCTGCACTTTTGTGTGTTCTACATATACAGTCCTCTCAGACAAAAAACTTGCAGGTCTAGCTATCCTTAGTTACTCAATTTACATTGTTATAAAATAACAACATACTTTTGTCTAATTTTTTATTTACGGAATTTACTTTTTTATACTGAAAAAAACAAACCAACTTCTGATTTCTTTCAATTTAGGCAACGAATTATCATCGAAAATACGACATCTATTTTTTTACGAGAATAGCAACCCTTTTTATTGGTTGTCTAACATAAGAAATTACACATATATATGGCCATACGGGGCATGTTTAGTTGGAAGGAATACAATAAAAAGACAAAACTCACCTAAGCAATGAAAAACATTAATCGTGTGTACCATATATATTCCCCGATTATGAAAACAACAAATCATGTTTTGCATCACAATTATATCTTGAGTAATTTCTCTATGCGATACTTTGTGATTCGACAATCCAATGAAGCACAAATGTGACAAAATCCCAAAGCGGTATTAGATTTCGTATATGAGCACTGATTTGTTAATCGTCATATTATTTTAAGGATATCTTAATCTAAAGTATATATATAGCAAAAAATTTAGACAACAAAAAGAGTTGGTTTTATAGTTAATCATCAAATGAACAATTTATTTTTTACACAAATTACTTGTACAACCCACATAAATAACATAGATCACTTGTACCAACAACCTGAAATTAAAATCGGACTGAAAATATGTTTTTTTTAAGTTTATTTAAAAAATTAACACCCTTAAAACCTACTTTTCCAAATTATGTTTCTTTAAATTGTTATTTTTTGTTCATATGATTTGGACATATTTGGTCTCACATGATTTGGACAAGGCAAGCTAACCTTCAAGCTTTATCTGCACTGAACGTGTACATGTGTTTTCCAAGCTTAGCAGCCACAGGTTATGTCAGAAATTAACCTACCTATTTCAATAAAAATTTAATAAATAAATAGCAATGTAATTTCCAGTACATGGAAACAGCTTATTTGAGCTGTTATTATAAGTCACCATTTGAGCCACACAAAAGCAACATATTTTCAGTATGTTAAAACTATGGGAAAAAACCAAATAAACTATTTTCCAACAAACATAAACAACATTTATTAAGGCATTACAAGTTAACACCTAATATTCGATAGACATTAGATGTTGGTGGGCAGGGCTAATTTAGTAACAGGGGTAAAAGAGGAATGAAAAGTAGTCGAATGCTTAATGCTTTATTAAAGTGACTGAAAGCTGTTACAGAGATTGCATACTCAAATGAAGCTAAACTAAGATACTTAAATAGGCTAAAAAATAACAGAAAAATCAGAAAACACAGCAACGTTCTTCAACAACTCAACGTGCCTTTTTATTCTCCTAAAATACCTAGTCAACATTGACTAACATTCTCCCCCTCAATGTTGACCTTCTTCTTCAGGTACTCAACACCTATCAGCTTTCTCATCTCAGCAAATTTGATCCGTGTCATTGCTTTTGTCAATACATCAGCTCTTTGTTGGTCCCCACTTACATGCTCCACATTAATCTGTTCCCTTTCAACACACATACGAATAAAATGGTATTTGGTATCTATATGTTTACTCCTCCCATGGTGAACTGGATTCTTTATAAGAGCAATAGCAGATTGATTGTCCACAAGTAGCTTCACCTTTTGAGCTTTTCTTCCAACAAGGTCACTCAACAAATTTCTCAACCATAAACCCTGACAAGCAGCTGCAGTTGCAGCCATGTACTCCGCCTCACACGAGCTTAGAGCAACAGTTTGTTGCTTTTGTGAGGCCCATGTTATCAGATTTCCCGAGAAATAATATGCCACACCTGTGGTTCCTCTTCTATCTTCCCGATCATCACTGTAGCTGCTGTCACTGTACCCTACTAACATACCATCACCTCCTCTGCGATACATTAGACCATACTCTATTGTTCCTTTCACATATCTTAGGATATGCTTTATGGCTGTCACCTGCTCACAACACCAATGCTGAAATTCAGATCAGGTCTTGTATGTACTAGATATCTTAGGCTGCCAACCAACTTCCTGTAGTTTGTTGCATTTACAGGTTCCCCTGTTCATCCTTGGTCAGCTTCAACTTGGCTTCCATTGGATATTGTGAGCTGTTGCACTCTTCCATTCTTGCCAGTTTTAGAATCTTCCTTGCATACCCCTGCTGTGAAAGCATAATGCCATTCTTCCCTTGATGTACTTCTATTCCCAGGTAATAGGATAGAAGTCCCAAGTCACTCATGTCAAACAATTGCTTCATTCTTTTCTTGAATTCTAGAATTCCTTTCTCACTTGAGCCAGTAACTATAAGGTCATCCACATATACTCCTACAATGAGGATTAAATTGGATTTGTGTACCTTATAAATTGCTTGTTCTTGAGCACATCTGGTGAATCCTAGTCCTTTGAGTGACTGATCCAACTTCATATTCCAGGCTCTTGGAGCCTGTCTTAATCCGTACAATGCCTTTCTGAGACGATAGACCAGATTCTCCTTTCCTTTGATCGAGAACCCAGTTGGCTGAGAGACATACACCTCCTCCTTGAGGTCACCGTGTAGAAAAGCTGACTTGACATCTAAGTGATGTACAAGCCAGTTTTCTTTTGTCGCTAATGCCAGGATTAGTCGTATGGTTTCCAAACGAGCCACTGGTGCGAAAGCATCTTCAAAGTCGACGCCTTTTTCTTGAACATACCCCTTTGCGACTAATCGGGCCTTGTGCTTGATCACGTTTCCTGCTGCATCTCTTTTCAATTTAAATACCCATTTTAACCCAATTGCCTTTCGGTTTGGTGGCAATTTGGTCAAAACCCAGGTATTGTTTTTCTCGATCGATTTTAGTTCCGCCTCCATAGCTAGCTTCCAATTACTTTTAACTGATGCTTCTTCAAATGTTGTGGGTTCATCATCGATCAACAGCAGTTCTTGATTTCGCTCATACAGCCTTTGCACCTCGTCTTCCTCCATCCTCTCTGTATTCTGATAAATCTCGTTGATTGAGCGAAACCCTTTTGTTGGGGTATTATCGAACGAAGCTGCCGACTCAATATCATCGTAATCTCTAGAGTATTGGTTCAAGGATGCTGCTCGTGACCCATCTCCAGGTGAGGCTGAAATCAGCGTCTCATCAACAGGCGTGTTGCTTGATCCGAAATCAGGAGAGCGTGCGTGATTGTTAGTCGGTGTCGAGGGGCTTGTATTCATATGGTCTGATGGTTGTAGTTCTTGGGCTGGTTGTAATTGGGTTGCTTCTTGGACCAAAACGTTAGTCCAATAGGGTGTGGTAAGTGGTTCATTAATTATTTCTTCATTCCAGGCCCATGCTTTGGACTCTTCAAACACCACATCCCTTGCAATTACAATTCGACGCTTCCTGGGATTGTACAGCCGATACCCTTTTGTTCCTTCTTCCACCCCCAAATAAACCATGGTTTCACTCCGGTCACTTAATTTGGATACGCCCCGTAATCTCTTGACAAAACCCACACACCCAAACACTTTAAGGTGTGCAACCGAGGGTTTCGCACCCTTCCAAGCCTCGTAAGGAGTCACATCCTTGAGGGCTTTTGTTCCAGTTCGGTTCAGTAGGTACACCGAGTGACTCACAGCTTCTCCCCAAAATTGATCCGGTACCATCATGGCTTTGAGCAAGGACCTTGTCATCTCTAAGATCGTTCGATTGCGTCGTTCCACAACGCCATTTTGCTGGGGCGTGTGTGGAGTCGTCAGTTGACGTCGTATGCCAGCTTCTTCACAAAAATTCAAGAATTGAGTGGAGTTGAACTCACCCCCCCGGTCGGTTCTCAACATCTTGATTTTACACTCGCTTACTTTTTCCACCTGTAACTTGAATTTCTTGAACATGCTAAAAGCTTCGTCTTTGGATTTGAGCAGGTACACCCACATGTATCGGGAATAATCATCAACAATTAGCAGAAAGTACTCATTGCCACCCTTTGTTGCAGGTGTGATGGGTCCACAGAGGTCTGCGTGTAACAGTTGAAGCGGTTCCTTAGCTCTCCATTGGGCCGCTTTTGGAAAACTCTGTCTAGGTTGCTTAGCTAACATACATCCTTCACACACATGTGCTGGATGAGATACGAGAGGCATCCCTGTCACCATCTGCTTCCGTGTCATCTCTTCCAGCATCTTAAAATATGTGTGGCCCATACGTGCATGCCACAACCATGAGTCATCACTTATACTTATAGCTAAGCATGTGGGTTTCCCAGGTGTGAGTTTTATCTTATAAAGTCTATTTTTTGACCTTTGTACCTTCATTATTAAGCAGCCAACTTCATCATACATCCTTAGAAATTCATTCTTCATTCCAATATCGTATCCCTCCTCCGTCATCTGTCCCAGGCTTATTATATTGCTATGTAGAGCTGGGATATAATATACATCTGGGATAATGAACTGATCACCGTTTTTGCAATCAAACAGTAAAGTTCCTTTTCCTTTGATAGGAACCTTAGAACCATCTCCAAATCGCACCTGTCCAGTCACCTTCTCATCTAATTCTGCAAATAAAGCTTTAGAACCAGTCATGTGGTTACTAGCCCCATTATCTAGGTACCACATGTTGTTATCTTCTCTTTCTTTTAACTGGTTCGGATACACCTTCTCCTCATTCAGAAGAACCATACTTGTATTTTCTTCTCCATGTACGGTTAGCAGCAAAGCAGGTCCATCTTCATCTGCAGCTAAGTTCACCTCCTGATCTTGCTGCTTCTTGGCTTTACATTCGGAAGCATAATGGCCAAGTTCTTGGCACTCGAAACATCTTATATGGCTTTTGTCTCGTGGCTTCCGGTTGGAGTTATTTGCTTCTTGACGTGAACTCCCACCGAAACGCCCACCTCTTCCACGAGTCGACCCCCGACCTCGCGAACCGCCTCTTCCACCTCTGTCACTGTTTGCACCTCTCCCCCGACCCCCGGTCTTGCTTGGACTTCGATGACTTGAAGAGCCCTCCGACTTTGCAAGTAACAAGGCATTGTCACCACCTGAGTTTGCCTTCCGGAGTCGGAGTCGATCCTCATAAGCCTTTAAGTGCCCAATTGCCTCCTCGAATGGCATGGACTCCATGTCGGAGCTTTGTTCAATTGAGGCCACAAGATTTATAAATCTTTCTGGGACAGTGTCGAATAGCTTCCTTACCAATTCTTCATCTTCCAGAATTGCCCCTGCACTCCCAAATTTTGAAATCATGGCCGATATCCTCCCTGCATAATCATCTATGGTCTCCGTGTCTTTCATTTGAAGTCCTTCAAATTCACTTTTCAACACCCGTAGTCTTGCTTTCTGGACTCGTTCTGCACCCACATACCGTGACTTTAGAGAGTCCCACACTTCTTTGGCTGTCTTCTTTTTGGCAGCTTGTGCAAGCATCTCTTCCGGGATCGATTGGAAGATGAAGGCTCGAGCTTGCTTGCTCCTTTTCTCATCCACAACCACACCGGTTGGTGGCTCGATGGCATCCCATAACCCATGGGCATCCATAATGGCTTCCATCTTAATCGACCATGTATTGTAATTTGATGAGGTTAGCATCGGGCATTGAAGGGGGTAAGGGCTGTCTTTGGGTGGATTGGATGTTGAAGCTACTGTCATGGTATCGTATCTGATGATCTTGGGCATACACACGATCAGAACCAGGCTCTGATACCACTTGTTGGTGGGCAGGGCTAATTTAGTAACAGGGGTAAAAGAGGAATGAAAAGTAGTCGAATGCTTAATGCTTTATTAAAGTGACTGAAAGCTGTTACAGAGATTGCATACTCAAATGAAGCTAAACTAAGATACTTAAATAGGCTAAAAAATAACAGAAAAAATCAGAAAACACAGCAACGTTCTTCAACAACTCAACGTGCCTTTTTATTCTCCTAAAATACTTGGTCAACATTGACTAACATTAGAACCACAACTCTTGGTTTCCCTCAGTCGATCATAGAGTTGATATCTTTGTAATAAGTGGTACATAACCGGAATAATGACAAGTAATCTCTCAATAGTATCTAATCTTAAATTATCATAAACATTTTGGTATCATAGCCATTACAGCCTGAGTATGTGTAGCAGCAGCTAGCCAAACAGAGTGAAAAATCTGCAAAATGCAAAATGAGTATGAAAATGAATTGCGATATTAGGAAGGGGAAGAAACATAGGATAACACAATGTGATCAAAGAGTTAGTCAGCCTTTTGAGATCAAGATGTTCTTTCACATCATAAAATCTTTGATCCGTTGCGTACAAAATTTTCCCAAATTGCCCTCGAGATTAAGATTAGAACACATACGAAGTTCTAGAGATTCAAGGTGAGGGCAGCCAATAAGAATGGCCTTGAGTCCATCGTTTGTCATATCACTACCACAAAAATCCAGATGGCGTAACTCAGGCATGTAGTTTGCAATGGCAAGGGCATCGCCGTCATTTTGTGACCAATCGAATACTTTGTTCACTGTGAAGGACTTGAGCCAAGGGCAATTCCGTCCAATAACTTCAATGTCTTCTGCCCTCATGGAGCCCAAAGAAATGTGAAGTTCCTCCAACTGTGGAAACCTTTTGGCTGCCCGAGTCAACCAACTTCCCCTGCCACATAAGTACGTAAGGCAAAGACGTTTCAGCTTACTTGATCTGTTCACAAGTCACCATTGGAGCCACAGAAGAGCAACAAAATTTCAGTAAAGAGGGGATAATTGGTGATGTGTATACGTTCAAAATGAGTATGAAATTGAATATCGATGGAAAAGTGGAAGAAACCTACCGTAGAAATATGTAATCAAGGAGATCGTCGTTGCCAAACCCTGAGATATTGATATCGATCAATTCCCCACAGATGAGATCGACTGCCTTCCTAGGGGGTGTTTGGCTAAGCTTATGACTTTTCATAAGTAGTTTTCAACTTATCGCTTATAACTTATAAGTTAATAAGTTAGGGGGGAGTTACTTATAGATTTTGACTTATTTCCGGTATGATACCTTGATAAGTTATTTCTATCCAAACACTCATTTTAACTTATACCGGTGTGGAACCGGTAATAAGTTAAAAAAGGAGCTTAAATAATCTTAGCTAAACACCCTCTTAGTCAGCCTTTCGAAATAGTAATTCTTATCACGAGCATTAAGCGATTTTTGCACATAAATGACCTTCCACATCGCCGGATCCTTGCAAATTTTCCGCCAAGTTCTGCATACTTTCCTTGCGCTCTTGAGTATCTCTTTAGTTCCCAATCTTTGAAGTATATTAGCCATCGATTCGTCAGGCATTTCCAGCCAATTTCGATATTCCTTCATTGCCGATGACGGCTCTGCGGCGGACGTCGACGCCGTTTTAACTATGAAATACGACTATGACCGAGTCGTCTGAGTTGGGATCAACAAGTAAAAGAAAAAATATATTGCATTTTCTTCTATAAAGTTGACAAAATTACAAAAATGGTCCCTGTGGTTTGTTAATTTCTTTGAGTAAGGTCCAAAAAAAAGTTTATTAGCAAAATTACAAAAATGGTCCCTCCATTTTTTTTATCATAAAACGTAGATTTACATTAAACCAAATTATTCCCAGTAATTTTGGAGCAAATTATTTTTATTAAAAATAAATATGGGGCTAAAAAAATGGGTTAGATTCTTTTCAAGATACGTCTCTTTTTAAACACATGTATCTTACCTTCCACCCTCACAACCTTATCTCTTTCTATGTCTCTCTCTCTATCAACAATTACTCTCTCTCTCTCTCTAAAAATGAACAACCAATTTTTTTTAGATATTCCTTTATTGCTGCTCTCGATCGTTCCCTCTTCAAGTCGCCCCTCCCATATTAGTCGTTACCCATATCCTCCCCTGTGAAGCCACCGGCCGGATATCGCCGCAACCCACAACAACATCGGAGACCTTCGACCCCATAGCCAAGGTTTGTGTTTCTTCCTGTTGTCTACACTCGATTTTTTTTCCTGCTATCTTCTTTCATTCTTCTTCTTTTTGGTTTGGATATGCTTTTATTGCTGCTCATGTCGATCGTTCCCTCTTAAAGCTGCCCCTCCCCTATTAGTCGTTAGCCAAATCCTCCCCTGTGAAGCTACCGGCCGGATATCGCCAAAACCCACAGCAACATCGGAAACCTTCGACCCCACAACCAAGGTTTGTGTTTGTTCCTGCTTTCTGCTTTCATTCTTCTTCTCTCTTCATCCAAAAATTCCCAATCCAAATCTATTGATCGTAAAAAATTGGAAAATCAATAAAGATACACCATTTGTATGTTTCCGTTTTCAGTATATTTAGCTGAGCATTGTCATAATTGTTATGTTTAGGAAGAGTGTTTCTTGGTTATGCAACTGCATCAATTGATACAAACACAAATGTCACTGTACAAAGGATTATAAGGAAGAGTGTTGCTTAGACCAAACAAGATCTTTATTTTTATGCAATTGCATCAATTGATACAGACACAAAACAGATTTGGTTAAAATTTTGATGTTGCTACTGTTTCTTTTTTTTAGTTGCGACTGTTTTATGTACGTTTATAACTAGTACTTTTGACCAAGATTGATACTATTGCTGTTTTTTATTGCAAAACTTACAATTTTGATGTTGCTACTGTTTTCTTAGGTGCTACTGTATGGATCATTTCGATACTACACTCACTAAAAAGAATATTATTGCTGAACAACGTCACGCTATATATGAAGCCTTATTGCAAGCAAGTGTTTCTGGAGAGTTACAAAGGGGTGCCATAAGTGATATAGCTTCACAATTCTCGGTATCGAACCGGACCGTTAGTCGCATTTTGCATAAGGCTAAAATTTAAATTGATCATGGACTACCGGTTGTTTTATCTTCAAATATGGCGAAGGTTGTTGGACGAAAAAGGGTACAAGTTAATTTTAATCAAGTTTTAGATATTCCGTGTTGCGGGAACGTTGGAGACAAAGCCTATTTTATCCGTGACTAAAGAAGTAACAAGGTCATGGTTGATAGAAAAAGTTTTGCCGGATATTAGAGCTAAATGGCCGCGAAGTCATGTTGGTCCCATATTTATCCAACAAGACAACACCAAGCCCCATATTGATGTCAATGATAACAAGTTTCTTGAAGCGGCAGCTCAAGATTGGTTTCATATCCGACTTAGTTTTCAGCCCCCCAATAGTCCGGATTTAAATGTGTTAGACCTTGGATTCTTCCGAGCAATCCAATCACTTCAAGAACAAGAGGCTTTAGGTATAATTGATGAATTCGTTCATGCGGTTCAAACGTCTTTTGAAAAAATGCAATCTCAACAACTTAACAATGTATTTTTAACTCTACAAACGTGTATGAGGGAAATTATAAAGGTTCAAAGCGGGAACAACTATCAAATACCGCATATTGGTAAGAATAGGTTGGAACGAGAAGGTAACTTACCACTTCAAATTGGATGTGATGAAAGTTTGATAAATGAGGCTTTATTGCATTTGGCTGCCTAATTTTAGAAAAAGTATTGTGATCAAAACAGTATGAAAAAAACAATTTTGTATTGGTACCTTTGATGGTGTATTGTATTTTGTCTTAATTCTTTTTTGTTTTTATGTCATGAAATTAGTTTGGCATTGTGAATGTGGAAGTAATTTTCAAGACAAAAAAAATTGGATATGTGATAACACAAAAAAAAAAGTGACCTTGGATATGCCTAATTGGCATTTTTGTTATTCTTTACTTTAATTGTGATAGTGTGATAATCTACAAAAAAAAAAAAAAATAATAATAAATAAACAATCGTGCAGGAAAAAAAAAGTTTTTGGTTGGTTAAAGGAAAACAAAAACAAAAAGATGCCTTCATGATTGTGTGATAATCTACAAAACAAAAAAACAAAAAAAAAACAGGGAAAAAAAACAAGCAAAAAAACAAAAAATCTTTGGTTGGTTAAAGAAAAAGTGGCTTTTGTGCATTAGATTCCATATCAAAAAACAATCATGAAAAGTAACTTTTGAGGATATTTTGGTAAATGAGACATTTAATTTTAGAAATGGGCAATTATTTTGGGACAAAAAAAAGGAAAGATGGATTATTATATTGGGACGGAGGGAATATTATTTTTCTATTGAATTATTATATATTAATAAGTATTATTTTTAATATATTATATATGTTAATAAATATTAATTTATTTTATTATTAATTTTTTTAATTAGTTTTTTTGAATTTCTTCTTTGTTGGATTAATTCTTTTTACTGGATTATTATATATTAATAAGTATTATTTTTAACATATAAATTTGTTATATATTTCAGTTTTTGTGTATTCCCATGTATCTAAATTTGTTATATATTTCAATAAACTTATGATTTTGACATATATAATTTCCCTAAAAATATTTCTACATGAATTACCAAATCCGAGTACTCACTACTCCGCAGTCGGCCAAACGAGTACCGAATAACAAGTTCTACAAGCTTGCCAACACCTGTAGTGGTTGTGGTGGTTTGAAAAAACTCGATTTAACATTTTCGTCGTCGATGGCTGTATTGGTTATGAATGGTCGGCTGGAGGCTGTATGTTTTCAAGGGTTTTTTGCGCATTGTGTGGGTAGTTACACAATGTAGTTTTCGTCGAGAATGATCGATTGTAGGCGATGGTCGACGATTTCTAACGAGATGATACCGCGATGCAAGGTGGTAGAAGGCAACGAATGGAGGAGCTGACTAGGGGTGTTTGGTTCGAATTTCCTGGTGGTTATAGTAGAATATGGCCGACTTAGTGGCTAATATAGAGGATTCTGACGGATTGTGATGAGGTTGTCCTAGGTGGCTATTGGCAGAATTAGGTGTAACAAGTTGGTGAGGTTTCCGTCGAACAATCGATGAAGGTGATGGTGTTTGTCCCGCCGATTTAAACAATGGGACGCGACACATTTGCGTATTCCGACGTCTTTGTGCTGGAACCAATAAAATTAAAAAGAATTAATATTATACATTATAAATTATTAATCCAATAAAATGATATTTATTATATATAAAAATAATAAACTAAAAATAATAATCCAATAATAAAGAATTAACATAATAAAAAACAAAAAATAAAATAATTAAAAGAAATTAATAATACAATGAAGTAATATTTATTAATAGAAAGTATTATATGTTAAAAAAATATTTATTAATATATAATAATCCAATAAAAAAGAAATTAAAAATATTATATGTCAACACCCAGCGAGTACGCTAGGCGTACAACTCCTTACGTTGGGCGTACTGCTGGGTAAGCATGCAACGGGGATTTCCAACTATACGCTGCGCGTAGCGAGGAGTACACACGGCGTACTCCTCGGACTTCCATTTCCCACCTCTCTTGGTCTTAATCCGTTAAGAAAAGTATTCCAACTATAGAATTGAGCTAAATAAGGCCTCATAACTCATAAAGTTGCTGACTTTAAGCCTTTGCATGGCTAGTCAAGACCAAAACCCAAAAACTCTAACTTTCTCAACACAAAAGACCATACAACTCATGCATGGAGAGATCTAGATGTCCAAGCACTCATTTTTATGGATCAGGACACTCTAATAACCTAAAAGGATAGAATAATAGCTTTGGAATTCACCAAACTCAAAAAGTTCCATACTTGGGACATAAAACCCTAAAAAGGACCCAAAACAAGAACTAGAACAAACAATGAGCAAGTTTAAAACTTGATACCTCTGGAAGATGCACAAACTGAATTAGAACTCAGAACCAAGAGCTAGAAGCACCAACTATCCTTCCTTCAAGGCTTCTTCTCCACCAAAAGCTTCACAAGGACACTCAAATAAGCCACAAACACACACAAGCTAGAGGAACGAGATTAGGGTTTTGGGGAGGTTGGAGGCTGATAATCGTGGCTAGATATAAAGCCATCATGTTCCTTAAATAGGGACACAAGAAAATATTAGGGTTTCTCACTGAGCCTAGTACGCCCAACGTGCCCTTTGGTATGCCCCGCGTACTAGGTGGCCTCCGCGACAATGCTAAGTGCATGAGTACGTACTCATGCGTACGCTCTACATACTGACATGCCACCTTTTACATAACAAGGACTAGTCCTGCCATATATAAAAAGGTTAAGGTCCGAAAAGTTATACCTCCTTTTGGGATCTTAAAGATAGAAGTCGTCTAAAACCCTTTTTGGTCGATTTGAAGGCTGAAGAACACGATAGGAGCATCACTTTGAAGATCAAAATTTGGAAACGTTGTTTAATTATTCAGTTTATCTTAAATATCATGTTTAGCAATAATCCACTAATTGATTCCTATTTTTCAGTAAACATTATAGGTTAAAACCCTTTTACTTCTTAGATGTGTATGGTTCCTAGATATTGTGGTTTGATTTGTTAGATGGATTTGTAAAGCTTGATTCTTTATTATGTATGATAGATTTCTTACCTTATGTAATAAAGTTTCAATTTTTATTATCAATAACTAAGTTTAAGGAAGTTTAGAGGACCAATCTGACTACATGAACTTCTATCTTAATTAGTTTATGACAACAAACTGCTAGGACTAGTTGTTGGATATGCTCTGAACAATTTTCATCTTAGTGCCCAAAAATTTGATAGCTATACTAGTTGAGTTCTTTTGTTTCCTTGCCCATCAATTAAAAGAGTTAGATTAGGACTCATTTTAGTTAGTCCTATACATAGGATATCAAATCATCTTTCTGGATTATCCTTTTTCTATCTTGTTCTACACCTTTGTAACCCTTTCAACATTGAGATTAATATAGTTTTCATTCAAAGTGGTTTTTCCCGATTCTGGATTTCTTCCACTACAAATCCATTATTATTTTGGTTACTTGTTTACGTTCTTACTCTTTCAAGGGGTATCAAAGCTAGGTTAAGGATCAGAGACATACCGGTTGCTGATTGAATGGGCCTGTTAGTCGTTTGAACCCCATATGATTTTTTTTCTTAGCGATTCTTCATAAGTCGTTTTTTCTTTTTCTGTGACGATCTATAGACCATCAAAGTTATTCGATCGTTCTTTCCCAGGTCGTTCTTGTTGGGTTTTGAGCATATATAACATCAATCCTATGGTGTTCATGCAACCCTAATTGCTTTGATCTAGGTTTTTCTAATTTGAACATACAACATTCAATACCAAAGCAATAAACCCTAATCTAGCATGCTTATTTCGAAATTAACATAATAAACAAGTTAGAATGATTAACTCAATTTGTTATGTAGTAATGACAAGAACTCCTTGACCTTTGAAAGCTTAGTGCCTCAAATGTTTCACCTCTAATGGAATCACAAACACTCTTGCAACAAGATGACTTAGGAGAGGGGAGGAAATCGGCTAGGGTTCCTTCTAAAACACATAGGCCAAAATCCTCATGTATGAGGGTCTATTTATAGTTGTGTGGGCTGCTAGGGTTTCAGCTGGAAACCCTAATTCTCTGCTTAAGCCCTAAGCAATCCATGGAGCCTATCTAGAAAGCCCTTGGACGAAATCTTCTTGGACTCTCCATAGATTTCATCCAATCCCTTTCTATTAGGAATCAAAAGCCCAACTAGCAACTATCAGATAATTGCAATATCAGTCCCCTTTATTTAATCAGTCTCTTTTGATCACAAAATTAATTTCTGATCAATACTATTTAAACAATATGATTTCCAAATAATATATTAATCTTGTAATATATTAATAAAACCATTTTGAGTGTGAATTTATTATTCATATAATAAATTCTACTCTCTCTCCTCTTGTCATCCTATCAAGTTGCATGAGTGAAGGCAACCCAAAAGGACCATGCTCATAATCGGGTCAAGTACATACCAAAATAGTTATGGGCTAGACACCTAATCCAACAGTCTCCCACTTGGATAAGTCTAATAACTATTTTGCAAGTACGACTTCAGAACCTAATTAGCAATCGTAGCTTTCAAAAACCGCTGTCGAACTCTAATATTATTAGCAATGTGTCCTTTAGATAAAGGATCATATAATCCTCCATTCTAGATATCGTATGAACTGAGACATGGATTATAATCATCCTCTCCGTTCATGTGTTGTTTCTCGATTTCCAATTTATTACGACTGACAACAGACTACAATTGAATACATCAACTTAGTCCAGGCTTGGCCAAGCGCTTAGGGTGTCATCACTAAATCATCGAGGAGCCCACAAATGTCGCTTTTTTCCCTCTTAGGGTAAAAGGAATGGATAAACTTCGACTCAAATGCTCGCTTGTACCTACTCATCAAATCACACATAACAATATGTTTTATAACACCAAGTTACTGGTGCCTTTACATATTATCAATGTGCAACCGACTTGTAAATTACAACTCACATGTATCGGTTTCAAGAATATAAGATATTATCGTCTCACTAATCACTCGTGATAAAATCCATGAAGTGATTCAAGTGAGCGTGGGTTTAATCCAATACTCTAATCTTCTTACTACAACACTCATGAATTCTTTAGTAAACGTTTGTTATGCCTAAACGCTTTAGACAATCTACAGTTGGATTCATGACAGTCTTACCTCATTACCTACTTCCAAAGTATGATTGACTGTGGATGTTTGAATAACCT